AAATATATGAAAAATTGATGTGGGTACTCAAATGAAAGGTCTCGATGAATGTAATGTTGGGGTGAGCTTATATCTTTAAAAATGTCAATAGTTCTTAAGATACAAGGTCATTTCTTAATTATTTATCTAGAGATAGAGAATTTTCGAATGCAGCCTAAATACTTACTATCATAAATTGACTATCGGTGAGAATGATATGAAACTCTGAAAAGGCACAAATGCAAGCCAAGACCTTTGCAATGACACTAAATTTTACTAAAAAAACCGATTTTATCATATCACTATTCTGGAAACAAAATATTTCTTATTCTTTTAATAACATAAATAATCAATTTAAAAAAAAAAAACATTTAAATGAAAATATTCATTTTTTTTATAAGTGTATATTTTTATTAAAATATCTTAATAATATTATTTATTTCTTCATTCTTATTGTGATTATATATTACAATATTAATTGTATGATAATCATAATTATAAGCAAGTAATTAATGCAGTGATTACTTCTCCTGATTAAATTATATAAAAAAAATATATATCAATCGATTTTAAGTAATAAGCGCCTGAAAATTAAAATTGATAATTATTTAATTACATAATTAAAAATAAAAAATGAATAGATTTTAATAATTACATTAATACAGTACGATATAAATAATAATATATCAAAACATTTTTTTTTACTTACTATTTTAGGTACAAGCAATTATCATTTGCTAATGCGATTTAATATTTTACTTAAGATTAATAAAATCTGACTCATTTTAAACAATATTCTTAAACATTGTACGGCAAATGAGTCGGTATAAAAGTTTCAAGTGTCGCTGAAACTCCGTTAAAATAAGTTCGACCATCTTTGTCCTTAAATACTGTGGCAGTAGTAGTATTAGTAGTATTAGCAGTAGTAGTAGTAACAGTAGAATTATTAGTAGTAGTAATATTCTCTTTTGTTGTCAGATTGGCTTGATAAGCTGTTGAAGGTACTGCTTGAACAATAATTGGCTGTGGAGAGCTATTATGACGAGAAACTGTTTGAATAACCTGTCAAAAAAATAAAAATGTCAATTAAGAATTAATAAATTTTAATAAAGAAATTTGTATCAAGATTTTTGCCTTAATTTTTATATGAATTTAAATATTTAATATTGCAGCGAAAATATTGGTCTTATAAAAAAAGTTTTTAAACAAAAAATGAAAAAAATTAAATTTTATAAAAAAATTAAATTTTGTAAAAAAAATTAAATTTTATAAAAAATTTGTATACTGTGATTTTTTTATACGATCAATATTTTCACCGTAATTTCAAAATTAAAATTTACTAGCAACCTTGCAGTCACTATGTGATTGCCGTGACTTGTGAACTATAAATGAATCAAATTTTGCTTTATTAAATAATGACTTTTGTTAAATTGCACTGTACTTTCTTAACTATTGACATTTTTAAAGATATAAGCTCATCCCGATGTTACTCTTCACAAGAGCTTTTAGTTGAATACCCACATGCATTTTGATATATGTTTCATATATGGACTCTGTTATGCAATAGTGTGTTAAGTACATAGGATTTCTATAGCATTTAACACAGTGTCCATATGCATACATATAATACATATAAATATATGAAAAATTGATGTGGGTACTTAAATAAAAGGTCTTGATGAGTGTAACATCGGGATGAGCTTATATCTGTCAAAATGTTAATAGTTCACAAGATACAAAATCATTTCTTAATTATGTATTTAGAGATAGAGCATTTTCGAATGCAGCCCTAGATACTTATCATAATAAATTGACTATTGGTGAGAATGATATGAAACCATGAAAAGGCACAACACCAGGCCAAGACTTTTCCAACGATACCAAATTTAACCATAAAAACCCATTTTATCATATAAATACACTGGCCACAAAATTTTGCTTATTCTCTTAATAATATAGATAATGAATGATTCAAATTTTTTACTATGAAAATTTTAATTTTTAAATTACGGTTTTCTTATTAGGTCTTAAGAAAAAATTATGAGACATTTTTTTTACAAAATTAAATTCTCAATAACTTTTATGAAAATAATTTTTTTATACGACCAATATTTTTACCGTAATTTACAAATTTAAAATTATTAATTATTATTTCAAAATTAAAGCCAAAATCCTGTTCTTAATCACAGTATTTAATATAAATAAGCAAATATATTAAATATAAAATTACTTGAATCATAGAATTTGGTACAACAGTAGAAATAATATTCTGTTGTGCCGGAGTAGTTTGAAAAGTTAAAGCAGTAGTTTTTTTATCATCTATCTGATTAATATCATCATGTTGAAGCGACGATTCAGAGTTGTTTTCAGATTCATTATTATTATTATTATTACTATTGCTACTATTATTATTGTTATTAATATTATTTTTATTATTAGGTTGTCGGAGGTGTTTGGTATGAGAAGTATTAATTCCATGTCTTCTCTTCATATGTTTATTGTAATTAGGCCAGTTAGTAAAATGATGCTGACACTCAAGACAAGAATAAGGACGTTCTCCAGTATGTTGTCTGCGATGGGTCGTTAAAATTCCTTTGAATCTAAAACTTTTACCGCAAAATTCGCAAGTAAATGGCATTGCACCAGTGTGAATTCTATGATGCTCTCTTAGAGTTCCCTTTTCTCTAAATGTCCTACCACAAATAGTACATTGGTGCGGCTTAGCACCAGTATGAACAGTTTCATGTTTCTTCAATTGAAGTGGCGTCTTAAATGCCTTCGGACACTGCGTACAAACGTAAGGTTTATCCTTAGAGTGAGTAAGAAAATGAGCTTCTAAATTGCCTTTTTGTATAAAACTTTTTCCACATTGATCACAAGTGAAATTTCTTACTCCAGAATGAATACGTTTGTGCGTAACGAGATTCGGTTTTGTAGAAAATCTCTTATCACATTGATCACAAGGGTATCTATTTTTCATAGTATCTGGCAAATGACAGCGACTGTGAATATATAACGCACTCTGTTGTCTGAATGATTTGTTACAAGTTTGACAAACATAAGGACGATCCTCGCTGTGAACTGACCTATGTGACTCTAATACTTTTTTATGGGTAAATGATTTTCCACATTCATCACAATTATATTTTGATTTTATTTTATGTCGTTTTATGTGAGTCAAAAATCCATAATACTTTTCGTATACTTTACAGCATTGAACGCACATATATTTGGGCTGCTGATTGTGGACAATTTTGTGGTGCTTCTCAAGCATCTCCAAGCTTGAAAGCTTGTCATTACAGTCAGTGCATAGCCATGGATATTTTTCTAAGCTTATTGTTTCTTTTTCTTGCTGTTTTTTAATACTTTTTGAATTCAATTCATTTATTTTAATATCACTTATTCCACAACTATCGCTACTTCCACTGGCGCTTAATTCTCTTCCAGTAAACTCTGTTCCTGCCATATAGTCATCTGGAATTTTAACATTTGGCTTTCTTTTTATTAGTCGCTTGTCTTTTACGTAACTATCACCGTCATTATCCCCAATATCATCATCATTATCATCATCATCGTCAAGATCATCATAATCATGATTAATACCATCATAATTATGATCAGTGATGTCTTCTTTTAAATATATATTCTTCTCCTTACCTTGATTTTTAACTTCCGTACAACTAGATGATACAATTTTTTTAATATTATTCTTAGTTACTTTTCTTTTCTGTTCAACATTTTTCTCACTAGTTTTTTCAAGCTCAATATCTAAATTTAATTTAATTTTCTCACATTTTATTAATTTACCATCATCGGAATTGATATTTGAATAATTACTTGACTCATTATTTTTATTAACCACTGTATGAGAAACATTTTGTTGACTTGATAATTCTTTTTCAGTTTCTTCAGTAACTTTATTTTGAAATGGAATTTTTTCTTTTTTTTCATACTTTGATACTGTACTAGAATCAATTAAATTTACAGACTGATGTGGAAAATGATTGTTATTATCTTTCAATCCAATTAATGATTGTCTTAATGAATCTTGTGCTTTATTTGATTGTTTATAAAAATCACTGCATTGATTCAAGAGAACACAACAGTCAATACAAACTAACTGCGAAAGACCATCAGTAATGTTTACCTGTAAGCAGAATTATTTATTAAAAAATGATACCTAAGTCAACTGACAGCAAACAAATTTGTTCCAAAAAAATATTTTTAACAAATTGCATTTTTAATTGTTTTAAATTTCTACATGTCAATTTTTTTTTTTGCCATAATTTATTTGTTAGAAAAATTTTCAATTATCTGCTAAATTGATGACATTTAAGTTAGCAGTCACTTCACCATTTTTAAAAATTTTTTTAACTACCAAATTTGTAGAAAAAAATTATATTTAAAAAAATTGCATTTTCAATTTTTTGAAATTTTTAAAAGTCAATTTTTTTTTTTTTTCATTTCTTTTGCCATAATTTATTTGTTAAAAAAATTATTAAAATTAACAAATATCTGCTAAATTAATTTTCATGCTAAATTTTCTAGTAATTACCTCAATATCAAGATGTTTCTTAATTTTTGCAGATAAGTCAAACTTCAGTCCTTCATTGTCATGAATGCTAATTAAATCAGCTTTTAATTCGGCACAAAGCCGGCAAATTTCTTGTTTAGACATTATAATTTATTTTTCTTTTATTTAAACTCGAATATTATAAAATTTATTTTATTTATTTGTAAATAATTATGATGAATTATTTTTAATACTTTTCTTTAATTAAAAAAGTAAATTCACTGAAATCTTCGACAAGCATCTTGATATTTTTCACTAATTTTAACAAAAAAAAATATTTCCTCCATATTTTAAGTAACCTTGTTGCTGTCAACTATCAATCAATAATATAAAAATTAAATTTGTTTGATCAAAACATCATTGATCTCAGATTTAATAATTGATAACAAAAATTATCATAACCTCAATTATAATATTATAATTATTAAATAATTTTATATGTACACATATAAACATCAACTTTTATTACAAACACTTTTGTATGTTGTATTTATGTATATATACATATATGTAATTGATAAATAAAAGTTACAAGTGCTAAAAGTACGCCGGCGCACTACATTGTTAGCGCACCCTGGTTTTAATTGTCTGCACGAATTTAAATTTAAAAAATATTATTCAGTTGTAACAATTACCTACATACATACGTGCACATGTAAAAATTTCATTTTTTATATATTCATTTTAAATTTATAATTTATTTTTTATTGAAAAATATAATTAATTCTTTATTTAATAAATTTAAACTTTCTAATGAAATTTTTAAAATATTTTATGTTAATAAATATATATAAGTCATATTTTACGGTACTTTAGAAATTATAAATCCAAGTATTTTATTTTTATTTACAAAAAATATAAAGTTAAAAAAAAATTGATTTTTTCAATTCAAATTTATTAATTAATAATAGTTAAATGAATTAAATTTAGTGCATAGGAAGTATATAAAAATAAAATTGATAAATTATTCATAGCAAATGAAAGTAGTTAACAAGTATACATTAATTATTATCTACTATTTATCACTGTGAGATTTTTTCGAGTAAAATTTGATTCTTTGGTATCAACAAAAATTTTTTAAATTCTTTTCTCATGGTTTTCACTCAAACGTGTAGCCTTGACATAGTTATTTCGTTTCTCCTGCCCTTCTATATGACTAATTCCGAGAATTTGATTTTTTTTTTTTTTTTTTTTTTTTTTACATCTCTTCCACGTGGCTCAATACATATTTTATGTCGAATCCTGTTTTATTTTTTTCAAATGTTCGCTAGCAATTTATTTAAGTCATATTATTAAAAATTTTTTTTAGTTCTAATTTGATAAAAAAAAAAAAAATTAAAAACGTCGGCTATAGTATTATAGTATTATAATACTAAATAACTTTAGTATTATAATTTTTAATTATATTTATTAATTTCAATAAAAAAATTTAATCATTAAAAATAAATATAAAAATAATTAATTTTTCATTTTTTAGATAATTAATTAAACAAAAATATATTTATTACATTATTTATTTAGTTTTCTTCTTTTACATTATAAAATGTTCTGTTAAGTATTGATCAAATTTAACAATACTTAAGAATAATTATTATTATTCACGCAATAATAATTTTAAAATAAAAATCTAAATAATATTTGTATTTTTATAATTTCTTTATTCTAAATTGAAAATATTTTTTCTTCAAACGTTTATTATTTTATAATAATTATTTTTCATCCAGGCTAAAATTTTTTCTATCGTTTTTTCTATCGTTAAGTAGTAAGATCTTCCAACTCTATCAGATTCAGTTACTTATATAGGTATATTGAATATTGGATATATAGCTTTAACGAACTTGGTGTGTATATATACAAGTAATGAACGTGAAGAAGCGCAGTTCAGCGTTGAACGTTCATAAGTAAGCATCGCTTTTTTTTTATCAATAAAATTTCTTCTTAAATTTATTGACAATCAACTCGATAAATAATTACCTTTTATTTTTTAATTTATTTAGTTAATTTTTTAATTTACAAAAAGTTTTATCTATTAATTTTAATTAATAAAAATACAAAATAAATTTTTTTTACAAATATTTTATTAGAGTTCAGCAAGTACAAATAAAATAAAAATATATTTTTATTTCAGATCCAATAAAAATGTGGCGATTTCTTGTACTCGGTTTTTTGACAGTAGCTGTGACAGGTCAATTTCAGGCCCAACCATCCGGTAGAATTTTAGAACCCCCAATTCCTCCACTTTGTGCTCAAAGTAAGTTTATTTTTTTTAAATATTTTAATTATATTTATTAAAAAAAAGAAGTCATATTTAAAATTATAAATTAAATTTTTTAATATATTTTTCTTTTTTAAACAATACTTAAATCAGCAGAAAACTAACAATTTTTTAAATTTTTAATGAAAATTAATTTAGCATAAATTTAATAATTTTTAAATTTTATAACAAATAAATTATGGCAAAAAAATTGACATTTAAAAAATTAAAAACACAATTTTTTTATAATAATTTAATAGTTAAAATTACAAATAAAAAATAATTAAATTGAAAATAAAAAAATGGATATTAAAAAAAATAAAATAATTTATTGCTCTATTTCTTCAAATTTTAATTTTCTTCATTACTAATTAATTTATTTATTTACAATTAAAAAAATATTTCTTCTTTTAAATTCATTAAAATTGTCTTTTTTATTTACAATAGAGTTAAAATTTATTTTTCTTCTTTTTCTTTAATCAAATATTTAACTTAAACCCTTAAATATATGATCCAGCACACAATAATTATAATAGAAATAGAAAATCTCATAAATTTTGATGATAAGCATCAGGAGAAATTTTTTACGTGTATTGAATAATAATAATAATAATAACAATAAATTCACTTTGACCTCTTTAGAAAGTGTTACTCCTTGACTTTGAATATAAATAAGATATATCGCATACCTTTGAGAAAGGAAAACAGGCTTCAATTTAAATATAAATATAAAAAACAATTTTAATTGCAAACCACCAACAATAACTTTATCGCTTCTCAAAATAAAGAAGAAAATTATTGTAAATTATATTTGCAAACCATTGGATTATTTTATAAATTAATGACCCAAATTACATTTTGTAGTAAACTAACTCTCGAATATTCTTGTCACGTTTTAATTTTTTTATTATCACACACGAGAAAGACAAACATTTGATTATACGTGTTCTTTATTTGGTAAAGCCTTCATTAGCATAACATCGATTGTCAACCGCAATTTATTAAAATTATCATACCACCCGCATTAAATAAGTGAAACTCGATAATAAAATAAAAATTCCATTTGTTTAAGTGTGTCATTAAATAACAATAATTAAATATTTATTTTTAAAAAACAAATAATATAAAAAGATAGTAGGTAAATATTTGACAAAAAAAATCAATTTATAAAATAGTAATTGTGTGGGTGTATGTATTTATGGGAAAGCTATAGAAAGTATTTTAAAATATTTTCATGGAGCAGAGCTTTGGATTTGGTACTTTTGATTAATAGTAGTATTACTCTTAAATTAATAGAGAACAATTGTGATACTTATTTATAATAATTATTGTTATTATTATTAATAAAGTATTAATTTATTTGTAATAAATTAATAATAATTTATTACAAATAAGTATTTTTATATAAATTTATAAAATAAAATAATTAAATATAATATTTTATCAATAAATTAATTTTTAAAAATTATAAAATGTTTTATAAATGAAAATTTTTTACTAATTTTTTTTTAATTAAAAAAATTATTAATAGTCTGTCACTTTTTGTATTTAATCTATATTATTAAGAGAATAAGAAACATTTTGTGTCCTGGATAGTCATATGATAAAATCGATTTTTTTAGTGAAATTTAGTGTCATTGCAAAAGTCTTGGTTTGAATTTGTGCCTTTTCAAGGTTTCATATCATTCTCACCGATAGTCAATTTATTATGATAATTATTTGGGCTACATTCGAAAATGCTCTCTATCTCTAGATACATAATTAAGAAATGACCTTGTATCTTGTGAACTATTGACATTTTTAAAGATATAAGCTCATCCCGATGTTACACTCATCGAGACCTTTCATTTGAGTACCCACATCAATTTTTCATATATTTATATATATTATATATATGTATATATGAAAAATATATCAAAAATGCATGTGGGTACTCAAATGAAAGCTCTTGAGGAGTGTAATATCTTTAAAAACGTCAATACTTAAGAAACTACAGTACAATTTAACAAAAGTCATTATTTAATAAAGTAAAATTTCATTTATTTATAGTTCACAAGTCACGGCAGTCACATAATGACTGCAAGGTTGCTAGTATTTAATACACTATTTAATAATTAAATTAAATTTTTTAATTAATAGGAACTATCCATGAGAGATTCAATGGAAAAGGATATTATTATTCTTGGGCAGATCCTAGAACAGCAGGCCAAGAATTAGATTGGTTATCTGGAAGAAATTTTTGCAGACAGCGATGCATGGATCTAGTTTCATTGGAGACTTCTACCGAAAATGAATTTATTAAAAGCCGAATTGTCCAAAGTAATTGAAATTAAAATTAAAATTAAAATTCATTAATTAATAATAGAACGTAAAAATAAAAATTAAAATAATTTTTTTAGATAAAGTTAAATATATCTGGACTTCTGGTCGACTATGCGACTTCAAAGGTTGCGATCGGCCCGATCTTCAACCATTAAACGTTAACGGTTGGTTTTGGACTGCTGAATTACAAAAACTTGCACCCACAACTGATCGCAGTCAAAACGATTGGTCTGAAAGCGGAGGGTAAATTTTATCATTCATTTTTATATTGTAGTTTATATATATAAGAATTGAAAAATAATTTTTTTTATTTTTTTTTTCAGTATCGGTAAACCTCAGCCGGATAATCGTGAAGCAATCCAAAACGGAGCACCTGAAAATTGTCTGGCAGTACTTAATCAATTTTACAACGACGGAGTTAATTGGCATGATGTTGCTTGTCATCACAAAAAGCCATGGGTGTGTGAAGAAAATGATTCGCTTCTCAAATACGTTAGATACACTAATCCTAATTTGAGAGTGTAATTTTTCCAGAAAAATTATAAATACATATTTATAAACATATTTATACGTTAACAATTAAACAGTTGATTTATGGGAAGCAACCATTAGAAAAAAAAACTGTATTTATTTTATTTTGTTTGTTTTTCTTCATTATACTAATTCTGTATATTTTGACGATTAAATTAAAACTTTGATGTATGATTATAAAAACAAAATAAATAACGGTAATTATTTTTTATATACTATTCATTATTATTAGAATAAAAATAGGTAAAAATGAAGATGATCCATACTTATTAATAAATGATAAGTTTATTATTTTTTTCCTTCTATCATTATTATGTGATAGCCAAATTTAGTTTTTACTGGAGGGTCAGTGTAAATTGGATTGGATAAAGAAGAAACTGGTAGAGCAAAAGCTGCATCTTGAAATGGACCGACCATCGATCCTCTAACCATCCATCCGAGATCTCCCTGTAATAAATAAAAAAATAACAAAAAAATCTTTTTATTAATATTATTAATTGATAATTAATTACTAATATTAATAATAATTAGTAATTAATAAAAATTTTTAGCAGGTGACGCTTAATATAAATTTTCGCCTCTCTATTCTATATGTTACTGAGATGTTTTTAAGAAAAATTGTAATTTAAATTTTAATTAAATGTCAGTACAAAATTATTTTAAAAAATTTAAGGGACGAATTTAGTGAATATGATTTTCAAAAAAATTAAATTATAATAAAAAATTTTTATAAAATTTACAATGAAAATTTATTTTAAAAAAAAATTTTTTTAAATAAATTTCTCAATAAAAATCATTATTAAAAAAAAATTATTTGTGGAAATTAAAATAAAAAAAACACTAGGTATAAGTGCAATTTTTATAAAATATTTTTTCATTTCTATTGACTTAAAAAATGAAGATGTGATTTTAATTTTTCCAAAAGAAAAAACATTTTTTTATGCTAGACAAGTTTTATTAACAAAGCGATGAATATTTTTACAAAAAAAAATATACGAAGATTATTTTATGAATTATTATTATAATTATTGCTTTAATTAAGAATTATTGTTATCTCTAAAAAAATTTTTTTTAATAAATTAAATTAAATTAATTTAATAAACATCAATGAATTTTTTTTAGGAATGAAAAATTTTAAATTATTCTTAGCGGGAAATTAAAGAAAAATACCGTGACCTGGATTCGAACCAGGGATCTTCGAGTTAACATGTCCCTAACATGTCCCAGTACGTCCCAGCACGCTCAGGAGAGAAGGAAAGTGAGGTTGACCGAGAACTCCGCTGTCCATCTTACAGCAACAAAGAAAGTCTATTTCTAATGTATTTTAATCTCAAATTTGTGATAAATTACCACAAATTGATATCAAGTAGCAAGTAGGAAATTTCCTACGAATTACCACTTCCTGATCCCCTGAGATGTCTCCAATGTCTCGACGCCTTAACCGCTAGGCTATCACGGTAATTGAGGAACTAAGTTACTAACTTGCTATTTGAGCGTAAACTCATCTTTCTTCGCTATAACTTGTTAATTTTTGGACTTTTTCAAAATTTTTTTTTTGCAGATAAGTTTCTGTGGGTCTGATTGTTCGATATGTTACAATAAAAAATTTTTAATTGGAAAAAAAAAATTAAGAATAAAAATGGAAGCGCTGGGATTCAAACCTCGGTCCTAGGAGTTAAAGTTACGGAGGAGGGATCTGAAAATTACAAGTTTTCCGGGGCTTAGGAATTTTTATTTAATTTTTAATAATAAATAATGTTTATTCAAACATTTTGTTGATATAAATAATTTGTTAAAAATATTTAAAAAAAAAGAAAAAATAATAGAAAGACTGGTAATTAAAATTCGAAAGTTTTTTAAGAAAATTAATTACGTATTTTAAAGTAAATAATTAAATATTTTAAATTAAAAAAGACCATTCGGCAGTCGAAATGGAAGTAGATTTCATCATAAATAGAAAAAAATAATGGATTTCTAGTAAACCGGCGATTAAAACCTTATTTCACCCTAACTCGTTATTTGTTTACATACTGCTGGTGTACAGTAAAGAAAAAAAAACGAGTATAATAGCAAATTTCATAATTGGCATAGCGGAATAGGACATAATTTTGGGACTACAAATATGATATGCTACTCAAATTGAAGCTTATTTAAAGAGCTTTCAGATGCAATTTACAGAAATTCGATAAATTATCCCATTCAAAAGTTATTGAAGGACAAAAATGGAGAAATGTTAATTTTTATGATTTATTATGATTTTGAAAATTTTGAAATCATGGCATTTCTAAATTACTTGACCGATTAAGCTCATCTTCAAACTTGACCTCGGTATCTATCTGTAGAATAAGTATGTTGAGTTTGATAAAGATCCATAGTAAATTGGCGACGCTATCGTGGTGAAAAGCCGCGTTATATCGTGTATATATATATATATATATATATATATATATATATATATATATATATATATATATATA